ATAAAAAACATATATATATATATATATATATATATATATATATATACAAAAAGAATCCTGGAAAAAAAAAGAAAAGAAAAGTTGGAAAGGAAAAAATGTAAAGAAAAATGTCTGAAGGGTCATGTGACACTGAAGACTGGAGTAGTGATGCTGAAAATTCAGCTTTGCATCACAGGAATAAATGTCATTTTAAAATATATAAAAATAGAAAACAGTTATTTAAAACTGTAATAATATTTCAAAATATTACTATTTTTACTGTATTTTTGATCAAATAAATGCAGCCTTGGTGAGCCTTCAGATGTCACCAGGTTCTAAGTGTAGATGTTGTTTTTGTTTAGCTCACAGGCCTCAAGTGTTCTTCTGTACCAGAGGAGGGTGACACACGTGTCATCAGGGGTCCCAGCCATCTCTTCTGCGCTGATACGAGACTTCAACTCTGTTCACATCAACTCTGGAACATGGACATGGAATACGGTGCTCTCTATCTTGTGAACTAAACCTGTTTTTATCCTCCTGACCTTTTGAACTTTGCTTTGTGTGACCTCTGTGCGTGTGGAATTTAAGGACTCTTAAATTGAAACGCTCTCTCCTTTCCCTGCTAAGCAGGTGGTGCTGGAGGCTGCTTCCCTTTGGAAGCCTGATGGAATGAGAGGTGTTACGTTCAAATCCTTCCTCCCACTGTTTACACTCACTCTGCTTCGGTTCTGGTGGTACAGTGCGTCTGGTGTTTGCGTGGTGGCGCTCGCCCGCTCCTGTGCATTGAGAGAAGTGGAACTGAAAGTTTAATCCTGGAATTAAAATTATGTCTGGTTTTCTAATGTACAGGAGCAGTGTTTCAAATAAATTTCTCAGAGGAAGACTGGAAAACTAAGAGGATGTTTCTGCGTCTTTTTCTGTTCACTGAAAATAAAGCCACACAGAGGATTCTGCGGTGCATACGTGCCTCTGAACAGAAACTCAAGGTAAGGTAAGCTTGATTTGTACTTGCTTTGAATAAGTTTTTTGTTGTGTGCGTAAAGCAATTAAACATTTACATATTTATTATATATTAGTACTTCTGTCATTACAGTAAAGACAGTAATTAAAAGTTATTTTTCTAGATTTCTTTCAAGACTAAGGGTCGGGTAAATAGAAATACATAGGCTGTATATAGTAATACTCTAAAATAACGAATAGCAATAATCACATTTTTAAATAGTAATACTATATATGGTATATAGTACTTTTTATATATAGTACCTTTGTTTAATATATTAATAATAATACATATACTGTGTGTGTGTGTGTGTGTATATATATATATATATATATTAATGTTGTAATATTGTTTATCATAATAATATATAATATTTGTTATATATTTAAATAATTTATATATACTATACATATGTAGATCTTATAAATATGTGTGTATATTATTATTATTATCATCATCATCATCATCATCATCATCATCATTATTTTTATTTGTTGAATGCAAATTCAGTTTATCTGTTTGTCCAAGGGGTTTTATTTTAAAAGGACTCAGATGGTCTTTAATGTCAGCAACAGTTCTGTCGGTAGAGGGCGCTACAGAGCAGTTTATAATTTACAATTATAAGGGTTTTTGACAAATTTGCAACACTATTTTGTAAAGTCCGAGTTGTCAGAATTTCTAGAGAAATATTTTAGTGTCTAGCAGTACATATTAAGAGGTTACTAAAGAAGTTGTAAAGCAATAGTGAGCTGAGTGTTTTTTAAGAGGCTAAACTAATAGAAATTCATCATGTTATGAACCTGCCATGTTGCTGAGCTCATATACTTTCCTGTCTGGTAAAATTCAGCTCTGGCATGGACGAGAGAGAGAGTAAAAGAAGAGAGGAGACAGTGGTAAAATCTAGGTTTTCCGCCT